CAGCCACTCAGACAACCACTCACCCAGCCAGTCACTCACTCACCCAACCACTCACTCACTCAGTCAACCACTCACTCACCCAGCCAGCTACTCAATCACCCAGCCACTCACTCGCCTAGCCACTCACTCGCCTAGCCAGCCACTCACTCACCCAGGCAACCACTCATCCAACCACTCACCCAGCCAACCACTCACTCACCTCACCAGCCACCCAGCCAGCCAGCCACTCACTCACCCAACTACTCACTTACTCAGCCAGCCAGCCACTCACTCACCCAGCCAGCCACTCAATCACACGACCACTCACTCACGCAACCACTCACTTACTCACCCAACCACTCAAACAACCAGCCAGCCACTCACTCACCAAACCACTGACTCACCCCGCCAGCCACTCACCCTATCAGCCACCTACTCCCCAGCCAGCCACTCACTCACTCAACCAGCCACTCACTCACCCAACCAGCCAGACACTCAATCACCCAACAACTCTTTCATCCAGCCAGCCACTCACTCACCGAGCCAGCCACTCACTCACCAAACCAGCCACTCACACAACCAGCCAGCCACTCACCCAGCCACCCACTCACTCACCCAGCCAATCGCATACTCAATCACCCAGCCAGCCACTCCCTCTCCCAATCAGCCACTCACTCACCCAACCAGCCAGCCACTCAATCTCTCACCCAGCCACTCAATCACTCACCCAGCCACTCACTCACTCACCCAGGCAGCCACTCACTCACCCTGCCAGCCACTCGATCACTCACCCAGCCACTCACTCACCCTGCTAGCCACTCAATCACCCAGCCACTCACTCACCCAGTCAGCCACTCACTCACCCAACCCACTCACTCACCCAGCCAGCCACTCACTCACCCAGCCACTCACTACTCACTCACCCAGCAAGCCACCCACTCACCCATCCACTCACTCACCCAGCCACACACCTACTCACTCATCCAGACAGCCACTCACTCACCCAGCCAGCCACTCAATCACTCACCCAGCCACTCACTCACCCAGTCAGCCATGCACTCACCCAACCACTCACTCACCCAGCCAGCCACTCACTCACCCAGCCACTCACCTTCTCACTCACCCAGCAAGCCACCCACTCACCCAGCAAGCCACCCACTCACCCAGCCACTCACTCACCCAGCCACACACCTACTCACTCATCCAGCCAGCCACTTACTCACCCAGCCAGCCAATCACCCAACCAGCCAGCCACAAAACAACTCACTCACCCATAACCCTCTCCCTCACCAAGTCACCGAGCCACTCACCTATTCCGCTAGCCGTTTACCGAGCCAGCCACTCACCCATTCACCCACTCACTCCTGCACTCACCCATCCATATGTTCACTCACCCACCCACTCAATAATACACTCACCTATCCACCCACTCACCCATCCACCCACCCATTAACTCATTCCCCCACCGCCCTCACCCACCCACCCACTCACCCACCCACTCTCATCCACTCACCCACTCACCCACCCACTCAATAATACACTCACCCATCCACCCACTCACCCATCCACCAACCCAAGAACTCACTCATCCACCCCCTCAACCCACCCACCCACCCACTCACCCACCCACTCTCATCCACCCACTCACTCACCCACTCAATAATACACTCACCCACCCACTCTCACCCATATTTTCAACCTCTCCATCAAAGAAGCATCAGTTCCTCTAGAATGGAAACATTCCTATGTCCGTCCACTTCACAAAGGGGGCCCTAAAGATGATCCAAATAACTACCGACCGACCTATCTCAATTTTGTCCCGTTTGATGAACATTTTTGAAAAATTGTTGACCTACCAAATTAGCCGTTTCCTGTCCACCAACAATCTACTACATCTAAAACAATCTGGGTTCCGAAAAAAATACAGCACCACATCTGCTGCATTAGACTCTCTGAATCACATTTACAGTAGCCTTGATAATAAGCAGTACTGTGCCTGTCTTTTTCTAGACCTGTCCAAAGCTTTTGATACAGTAGACGACAACACCCAGGCTTAGTAAACTAAGTTGCCTCGGTTTTTCCGATAACGCAGTAAAAATGGTTACAAAATTACCTCTTTTTCTCGCACCCAAACTGTATTCACAGATGGTTGGAGGTCAAACAGTGTTAAGATAACAAAAGGGGTTCCACAGGGTTCCATCCTCGGCCCCCTTTTGTTCTCTCTTAATGTCAATGACTTGGGCACTGACCTGGATCATTCCAGGGTAAATCTTTTTGCAGATGACACGATACTGATTCCTGCTGGCCGCTCTCCGGATGACGTGATTGCTAAGCTACAGGGTGATTTCAACAAACTACATCAGCTAGTTACTCTTAAACTAGTTCTGAATACCTCCAAAACCAAGGTGCTATGCTTCTCACCAGGACTAAAGCAGGCAGTTATTTTTCCCCAATTACATTCCTTAAATAATTGTCAAATAGAGCAAGTCAAGATCTATAAGTATCTCGGGGTCGTCCTGGATTCAAAACTGAATTTTGAAGATCACATTGATTATATTGGTAAAAAGACAAAAATAAAAATTGGTTTTCTGTATCGACACAAGCACTGCTTCCCCCCAATGTTCCGTTTGGAATTGATAAAAGCTACCATACTGCCTCTACTTGATTACTGTGATATCGTGTATAAATCAGCCCCAAGTAATGTACTGAAGAAGCTTGATTCTATCTAGCACTCGGCCTTAAGATTTACATTGAACTGCCCATATAGGACTCACCACTGTGATCTCTACATTGGGTCAAACTTAAGATCTCTTAATGTTCGACGGCTTGTGCACCAGATCTTATTTATTCACGATGTACTTACAAAAAAATCCGCAGACTACCTGCTGGATCTCCTCTTTGTTTCAAATAACAAATTTGACCTCAGGTCTTCGCTCATTTACCAGCTTCACATTCCCTATTACCGTACAAAAACTGAAGGAAGGGCCTTTCTATTGATGCCCCCAGAGTCTGGAACGCTATTGCCAATAAACTGCAACTTGAATCGCTACCAATGAGATCTTCTCTCAAAACTGCTCTAGAGGAGTTGTACACCCCTAGCTGCCACTGCTATTCATTGGCGTAAAATTAAATAAAATGTTTCGCTCCGGATGACGCTGCAAAGTATTATCTGTATTTTGATTTAGCGTGCTGATCTTAAAGGTGTATTGAAAAATTTGATACTCCGACCGATGCTTCTGTTGTTGTGGAGTAACTCATGCAGCCAGCTATGGCTCTAGGATTTGGTGTTACATGTTATTTATGTAGTTTATTGTAAAAAATTCGGTCACAGTCCTTGTGATCACTGTTACGTTGAAATTATGGCTTAATTTTTTGGTGATTTGGAAAAGTTTTTTGTTTTGCCCATGTTTTTGTTTTGTTGTAGTACGGAGTTAGACTGATGGCCTTAATCTAAGTTTTCTTGTGGTTGTTGTTGTTTGACTTGCATCCCACTGGGATTTTTTTGCACACAGCGTTGGTGTACGGTGCTTTTTTCAGGAATATTTTTGCTGTTGTTTTCCATGGATTTTCTGTTTGTACAGTCACATAGTCACTTTAAGATGTTTTTCTTGTTCGTGTTTTTTTTTGTTTGTTGTGGTTGCACCCGATTCAAGAGCCGAATGGCTCACAGGGCTATACCAAATAAACTGAAAACTGAAAACCCACTATCACCCACCCACCCACCCACTCACCCACCCACTCTCACCCACTCACCCACCCACTCTCACCCACCCACTCACCCACGCACTCTCACCCACTCACCCACCCACTCTCACCCGCTCACCCACTCACCCACCCACTCTCACTCACTCACCCACCCAATCTCACCCACCCACCCACTCTCACCCACCCACTCTCACCCACCCACCCACCCACTCACCCACCCACTCTCACTCACTCACCCACCCACTCTCACCCACCCACCCACTCTCACCCACTCACCCACCCACTCTCACCCACCCACCCACTCACCCACCCACTCTCACCCACTCACCCACCCACTCTCACCCACCCACCACTCTCACCCACTCACCCACCCACTCTCACCCACTCACCCACCCACTCTCACCCACCCACCCACTCACCCACCCACTCTCACCCACTCACTCTCACCCACCCACCCACTCACCCACCCACTCTCACCCACACACCCACCCACTCTCACCCACCCACTCTCACCCACTCTCACCCACTCACCCACCCACTCTCACCCACTCACCCACCCACCACCTGACGCCCATGTGGGGGGGGGGGCACCCACTGACCCCCCCCCCCTAGCGTCTCCGCAATGGCGAGCAGGTCACGCCGCCTCTCCGCAAATACCGACTCGGTAGAGGGGCAGACATGTAAGTGTTCGTTCGCTCCGTGCAAGAGGAGTTAGCTGGGGGGAGTCCCTGGAGAGCCCCTCTAGCGAGGGTGGCCATACGTTTAGGACGTGGTGGTCATATGGGCGCCGCGGTGGCTAGGAGATGTGATCTCCCTCGCCTGGTACACAGGAGGTCGTGGGTTCTATCCCGACCCTGACGCCTGCTGCTGCTGTATATTTGGAGTTTGCGTGTCTCTCTCTCTCATCATCATCATCATCACGGTGGCTAGGAGATGTTAACTACCTCGTCAGGTACACAGGAGGTCGTGGGTTCTATCCCGACCCTGACGCCTGCTGGTGCTGCTGTGTATTTGGAGTTTGCGTGTCTCTCTCTCTCTCATCATCATCATCATCACGGTGGCTAGGAGATGTTAACTACCTCGCCTGGTATACAGGAGATCGTGGGTTCTATCCCGACCCTGACGCCTGCTGCTGCTGTATATTTGGAGTTTGCGGTGTCTCTCTCATCATCATCATCACGGTGGCTAGGAGATGTTAACTGCCTCGCCTGGTATACAGGAGGTCGTGGGTTCTATCCCGACCCTAACGCCTGCTGCTGCTGCTGTATATTTGGACTTTGCGTGTCTCTCTCTCCCCGTCCTCGCGTGAGCCACACGTCGGCCTGGCCCAGCGGGGCTCGCTGCCCGTAGCCGATGCACAGCATGTGGCTCATGGCCTTGAAGAGCGCGTACGAGTACTGGCGACCCCACGTGTCGTTCTGCGCGGGGGGAGGAGGGAGGACGGGGGGGGCAGGTGCCAGAGTGGTGAGATGTTAACTACCTCGCTGGGTCTACAGGAGGTCGTGGGTTCTATCCCGACCTTGACGCCTGCTGTGTATTTGGAGTTTGCGGTGTCTCTCTCTCTCATCATCATCGCGGTGGCTAGGGAGATGTTAAACACCTCGCCTGGTATGCAGGAGGTCGTGAGTTTGATACAGACCCTGACGCCTAACGCAAGAACGTGGAAGCTTGGTCACCACATCTACGCCTCTAAATAAGGGACGAAACAGTTAGACTTCTCCACAAATCTGGCTGTCGCCTGATGAAGCTGGTTGTAATTACTGGCGAAACGTCGTACTCAGATTGTAAATGTTGTGGCTTGGCTCCTTAACACACCGGTGTGCTGTACTAGTATAGTACACTATACACTACACTACTATACACTACTATACACTACACTATACACTACACTACACTATACACTACACTACTATACACTACACTATACACTACTATACACAATATTATACACTACACTAAACACTCAACTACTATACACTACACTACTATACACTATTCTATACACTACACTATACACTACACTACTATACACTACAATACTATACACTACACTACTATACACTACACTACTATACACCACACTACTATACACTACACTTCTACACTATATACTACTATACACTACACTACTATATACTACACTACCATACACTACACTACCATACACTACACTACTATACACTACTATATACTACACTATACACTACACTACTACACACTACACTACTATACACTACACTACTATACACTACACTATTATACACTACACACACTACACTACTATACACTACTATATACTACACTATACACTCGACTACTATACACTACACTACACACGCCACTACTATACACTACACTACACACACTACATTACTATACACTACTATATACTACACTATACACTACACTACTATACACTACACTACTATACACTACACTACTATACACTACACTTCTATACACTACAATTCTATACACTACACTATATACTGCACTATAAACTACACTAATATACACTACACTACCATACACTACACTATACACTACACTATACACTACACTGCTATACACTTCACTACTATACACTCCACTATACACTACACAACTATACACTACACTACTATACACTACATTATACACTGTTATACACTACACTACTATACACTACACTATACACTATACTATACACTACACTACTATACACTACACTACTATACACTACATTATACACTACACTACTATACACTACACTATACACTACACTATACACTACACTACTATACACTACACTACTATACACTACATTATACACTACTATACACTACACTATATACTACACTATACACTACACTATACACTACACTATACACTACACTAGTGCTGTACTAGTGACGAACTGGCCACGTTCTGTTTACGTGACGACCCTTACTAGTCGGCTGTGTCGGGTGGTGGCGGGCTTTAACGACACATTTATATGTTTACGCGATCTAGTAAGCATATTTAGGGTTTGCGTCTCTCGCTCTCTCCCCGTGATCGTCTGGATGTTTTTAATTCCGGCTCCTCCGATTTTCCCCCTCCCCATTCAGAATTGACACCACGCGTCGCGAGAGGGTTTGACTGCTGTAAATTCGTGCATTTAGAGTGTTTGACTGCTATGGGTGTCCACGTGATGATGATGATAAACCCACTTCGTTGAGTAATCATTTAGAAACGTGCATTTAGAGTGTTTGACTGCTATGGGTGACCACGTGATAATGATGATGAGACCCACTTCGTTGAGTGATCATGTAGAAACGTGCATTTAGAGTGTTTGACGCTATGGGTGTCCACGTGATAATGATAATGAGACCACTTCGTTGAGTGATCATTTAGAAACGTGCATTGGTGTCCACGTGATGATGATGATGAGTTCCACTTCGTTGAGTGATCATGTAGAAACGTGCATTTAGAGTGTTTGACTGCTATGGGTGTCCACGTGATGGTGATGATGATGATGAGACCACTTCTTTGAGTGATCATTTAGAAACGTGCATTTAGAGTGTTTGACGCTATAGGTGTCCACATGATGGTGATAATGATGATGAGACCACTTCGTTGAGTGATCATTTAGAAACGTGCATTTAGAGTGTTTGACTGCTATGGGTGTCTACGTGATGGTGATGATGATGATGAGACCACTTCTTTGAGTGATCATGTAGAAACGTGCATTTAGAGTGTTTGACTGCTATGGGTGTCCACGTGATGGTGATGATGATGATGATGAGACCACTTCTTTGAGTGATCATGTAGAAACGTGCATTTAGAGTGTTTGACTGCTATGGGTGTCCACGTGATGGTGATGATGATGATGATGATGAGACCACTTCTTTGAGTGATCATGTAGAAACGTGCATTTAGAGTGTTTGACTGCTGCCATAGATGTCCACGTGATGATGATGGTGACGAGCCCACTTCGTTGAGCTGTCATTTGTGATAGCCAGGTCGCTTCTGAAAGCAAAAAACACAAGAAGACCGAGCCACGTGTCCCAGTGGCGGCCCCTAGCAACCTGACATAATCAACAACACAGTCGAGTTGTGTGTTATTTTTCATTCTTTTCGCAACGATTACTAAAAGAGAGGTCAAATGACGAAAGTTTTCCACTCGAGGTGGCCGCCACCTCGACGATCGTCCGCGTGAGGCCGCGCCATCACCGTGGGTGGCACGGGAGGCAGCACGGCAGTGGAAAAAAAAACCCAACAAACACAGGCCTGCTGTTGTTTCTGACGCCTCGCCAGAGTTTGATTAATCGGACTCGTCCCGTTAATTTCCTAACATTGTTTATATATCATCACTAGTTTCCCATTCTCTCTCCCTCTCTCTCTCTCTCCCCTGCACTGCTATCGCGTCGTCTCTGCTGCTGCTGTTGTGCCGCCGATTGCAAACTTTGCTGGACATATGTGGGGGAGAGAGAGCTAAAAGGGTTCTTCCTCGAGTGATCAAAATAAAAATTCCGATTCCCATCCCCCCCCCCCACCACCTCTCTCTCTCTCTCCACAAAGGTCAAGATTGTCTGTGCATGTACGAGAATCGACCCCGGACGACGCCATCCCATCCATCGAGCGAGCAAGCGAGCGAGCCGAGGGTGCAGGGCGCGGAGTGAGCTGAGTGGCCACGCTCAAGAGGAATCCGAAGAGCTATGAAGCTCTTTTTTTTACATACACAGATGTCCAGTAGGAGGGTCACGGTTAGTGGTGGCGTTCAGAACGTTGTCACTTACCACATTGCAGGAGCCCAATGTTTAAGGAAAGGGTGAACAATTCACGGTGAACACAAATATCCACAAATAAAACGTAACAATGTTTTTAATTCATTTTGACCGGGTGCAAGGCCCTACGGAGCTATTCCCTCATTTTCAGGAAGCGACCCTCGCCACAAGTGACAGCTCAACGAAGTGGCTTCATCATCATCATCGTCATCGCCATCATCATCACGTGGTGATTTCTGGCAGGCAAGCGATCTAAACGATCTGCAACGCACGCGGATTCTAAATGCGGAGGTGGACAAACTGAGGGACGCAGGACTCGGTTCATCAGTGGCCCCGTCGCGGGCAAGCCGAGGATGACTGATAGGGTCACGACTTCGGTCCAGTGGCGCACGTGGGGTCGGAGGCGTGCGAATGTGAAGCTAGATTTTACATCATTAGGCAGCGGCATCGATTGCAGAAGCAGCAGCATCGGTTGTTACAGACGCAGCAGCAGCATCAATTACAGACGCAGCAGCAGCAGCAGCAGTGACAGACGCAGCAGCAGCATCAGTGATAGACGCAGCAGCAGCATCAATTACAGACGCAGCAGCAGCAGTGACAGACGCAGCAGCAGCATCAGTGACAGACGCACAGCAGCAACCCACAACATCCATCCACACTCTGACATCATCAAATGTCTGACCACGCGTTTCTAGGTCCCCGTTAGGATTGCAACCTGTCTGGTTTTGGCTCGGACACCCTGGGAATTGGTGTCTGCGTTGTTTGGGTGATTTGTAGCCCAGATGTGTGGTGCTGGTGTTGCTGTTTCGAACATCATCAGCAGAGTCGTGTACCGGACAGTGTTTAATTACACACCTATCCACTCACCTACCCGCACCCCTAACCACTCACCTACCCAGTCACTAAACCACTCACTCATCTACCAACTCTCCTAATCCACTCACCTACCCACCCACTGACCCTCCAATTCACCTACCCACTCACCTACTCAGTCACTAACCCACTCAATCTCCTACCCACCCACCCATTCCCACCCAATAACCCACTCACCTACCTACTCACCCACCCACTCAGCTACATCATGTATGCTCAGCTACCAACTCATTAATTCATCTACCCTCTCCCATACGTATTCATGTTGCTCAGTGATTAACTCACCTACATCATGTATCAACTCATTCAGTCACCGTTGCAATTGCCAAACCAACCACCCACTCGCCCACCGAGCCAACAACTCACTCACCTACTCACCCACCCACTTATCCACCCCCCACTCACTCACCCACTCACTCACTTACCCACCCACTCATCAACCCACTCACTCACTCACCCACTCCCTTACTCACCTACTCGCCCATCCGCACACCTACCAACTAATTCATTCAACTGCCCTCTCCCACACGTGCTCATGTTGCTCAGTGATTAACTCACCCACATGCATCAATCCATTCAGTCGCCAAGCCAACCATCCACTCGCCCACCAAGCCAACCACCCACCCACCCACTAACCTACCCACCCACTAACCTACCCATTCACCCACTCACTCACTCACCCACTCACCTACCCACTCACTCACCCACCCACCCACTAACCTACCCACTCACCCACTCACTCACTCACCCACTCACCTACCCACTCACCTACCCACTCACTCACCCACTCACCTACCCACTCGCTCACCCACTCACCTACCCACTCACTCACCCACCCACTCACCCACCCACTAACCTACCCACTCACCCACTCACTCACTCACCCACCTACCCACCCACCCACTAACCTACCCACTCAACCACTCACTCACCCACTCACCTACCCACTCACTCACTCACCCACCCACCCACTAACCTACCCACTCACCCACTCCCTTATTCACCTACTCATCCATTCGCACACCTACCAACTCATTCATTCAACTACTCATGTTGCTCAGTGATTAACTCACCTACAGGCATCAATCTATTCAGTCGGCAAGCAAACCATTCCACTCACCTACCCACTCACTAACCTACCCACTCACCCACTCACTCACCCACTCACCTACCCACCCACCCACTCACCCACCCACACTCAACCACCCGAGGTTTGCCACCTGTCTGGGGCATCGCCATCTGTGTTCGGGTGGCAGGAATACATTTTAAACGATGATGATGATGACGATGATTGTGATGAGGTGTCTGCCACCATCTTTGTTTTAGACTCGCCATCTTGGTTCCTGTTCCGCCATCTTGGTTCCATTCTCGCCATCTTGGTTCCAGTCTCACCATCTTGGTTCCATTCTCACCATCTTGGTTCCAGTCTCACCATCTTGGTTCCATTCTCGCCATCTTGATTCTAGTGTCGCCATCTTGGTTCTAGTGTCGCCATCTTGTTTGCTGTGCTGTCATCTTGGTTCCATTCTCGCCATCTTGGTTCCATTCTCGCCATCTTGGTTCCAGTGTCGCCATCTTGGTTCCATTCTTGCCATCTTGGTTCCATTCTCGCCATCTTGGTTCCAGTGTCGCCATCTTGGTTCTAGTGTCGCCATCTTGGTTCTAGTGTCGCCATCTTGTTTGCTGTGCTGCCATCTTGGTGGCCCACTGCTGACCATCAACATGGCGGGCGGTGTCGCCAGGCCAAGGGGTCCCTTGTGGACTTTCACCTCCGCGTCCTCAGGGTTGTGTGTATGTCGAACTTATTTTGCACCGTACGTAGCTAACCGTGCTAATCGGAGGTGCAGTGTTAGTCTATGGACAGTGTTGGATCTTTGGGCAGTGTTAGTCTATGGGTAGTGTTGAGTCTATGGGCAGTGTTGGGTCTTTGGCAGTGTTGAGTCTATGGGTAGTGTTGAGTCTATGGGTAGTGTTGAGTCTATGGGTAGTGTTGAGTCTATGGGTAGTGTTGAGTCTATGGGTAGTGTTGAGTCTATGGGCAGTGTTGGGTCTTTGGCAGTGTTGAGTCTATGGGTAGTGTTGAGTCTATGGGTAGTGTTGAGTCTATGGGTAGTGTTGAGTCTATGGGTAGTGTTGAGTCTATGGGTAGTGTTGAGTCTATGGGCAGTGTTGGGTCTTTGGCAGTGTTGAGTCTATGGGTAGTGTTGAGTCTATGGGTAGTGTTGAGTCTATGGGTAGTGTTAGTCTATGGGTAGTGTTGAGTCTATGGACAGTGTTTGCCTATGGGTAGTGTTGAGTCTATGGGCAGTGTTTGTCTATGGGTAGTGTTAGTCTATGGGTAGTGTTGAGTCTATGGGTAGTGTTGAGTCTATGGGTAGTGTTGAGTCTATGGGTAGTGTTGAGTCTATGGGCAGTGTTAAGTCTATGGTGCAGTGTTGAGACGATGGTGCAGTGTTGAGACGATGGTGCAGTGTTAAGACGATGGGTGCAGTGTTGCGTCTATGGTGCACTGTGTATGTCTTGCATGTTGAAGTTCTTTTGCACCGTACGTAGTGCCGACCGTGCTAATCGGAGGCGCTCGTGAGCGCCTGCGGTTGTCTGCGGCTCGCGTTCGGAATCGGCCATGGCTTCTCAGGACGCCCGGCTTTCACTCTTGAGCCGACGAGTAGAGGCGCAGCCCCGCAACTCTTCGCTCAACACCCCCCAAACCCCCCCCCCACCCCCCCCCCACCCCCCCCCCCCTGCTGCCGGCAGAGAGGGCCCACCGCTGTATTCTAAATAATCACCGGCGAATTCACGAATTGGCTCGTCGACTGACGATTGGCGACCCGTGGCGCCCCGCCGAGTCGCGAGCACGTGGGGGTTTTGTCCGAGGGGCTGGGCGGTGGGCCGAGCGAACGGATCGTCGTTAGGCGGGGGAACGCCACGGTGCGGTGCGGTGCGCATCGCGCCGGGCACAACCGAGGCACCGGTGGCCTGCCGCGTGGGCAACCACCGCCGATCATCCGCCGCGCAAAGTGAAACTCAATTTTATCGACCCCTTCCCCCCGCCCGCCAGAGGGAGCGACAATGATGATGATGATGAATGGGCTGAGTGAACATCCCCACACCTTCTTCCCCACGGGGTGGGGGGGGGGGGGGCGGCGGTTGACCTCGCGACCTCGTGAACTTGCGAGCCGCTCGCTCCACTGCTGAGTCGGGTGGGGGGGGGGGGGGGCGGGGGGGATGGAGGAGCAGCCCCTGCAAGCGCTCACGAGCCAACAGCCGCTGGCGGGTAGTGACCTCGTCGACGGGTCCTGTGCGACGCTGTCCGGTGTCGCGATTCCGTGACTTCGCCTCTCTCTCAACTTCTCTCGCTCCTCGACGAGCTGGCGACCAAAAAACCAACCGAGCGTCCAGCGTTTCACGGTGACGCGCCTCGTACCGTGAACATCGGTGGTGGATCGTTCGCGCACGTGCGTGGCCTCCGCACTCGCTCGCTCGCTCGCTCGCTCGCTCGCCGAGACGTCTCGTCACCGTGCGCGCGCGTGGCGTTCACCGCTCACGTTTCGAGACGCCCGACGGTTTTCCCCGCCTTGCCGACGCGATTGACCGCGAACGCCGAGGCCATCCGCCCTCTCCCCCAGCCGGCGTGGGTGGAGATCGCATCGGTTATGTCAGAGGTTTGACGGGAGCTGCACGGGCCTCTTCACGTCCGCATCGGTGGACGAGCTCAGCGGTGAAACGCCACCACCACCGCCGCCGCCGCCACCACCACCACCACCACCGTTACCACCGCTCCCGCCGCCACCGCTACCGCCAGCAAAGCCGCCACCGCCAATCGCGATTGGCCACAGCGGCAGGGAGCCTCTGGGCATGCGGTCCAGCGGCTGTTGCGCCGGCGGCGGTGGCAGCAGCAGCGGGATTTGCCGAGGCAGCGTCATCCTCCGCTGGAGCGTCTTCCGACCCAGCTCGGTGAACATCGGCAGAGGAGGTCGCCCGTGACGGTCCGCATCCTCCTCCTCCTCCTCCTCCTCCTGCTGCCGCTCGCCGCTCCACGGCTGATGTCCCGGCTGTTCCACCGTCGCCGGCGCACGGGGAAAGGCGCCCGCCCCGCCGCTCGCCCCGCCGTGCGGCAGCGCCGGCTGCGACGCCGAGAGGAGCCGCGCGGCGCGGCTCAGCGCTCCGGGCGATGAAGACACCGCGGCGGCGGCGCCCCCCGCCGCCGCCGCCGCAGCCGCGCCGGCGGCGGCGGCACCGGCACGGGAGGAGGGAAAAGCGGAGAAGGAGCGAGCGCCGACGTCGGCGACGCTCGCCCGGCCGCCGCCGCCGCCACTGCCGGGCGACGGGAAGTGGCGGCAGAGGAGCGAGTCGCCGGAACCCGCGGCGCGCTCCGACCCGGCGCGCGCGAGCGGCGGGTTGCCGACGGCGGCGGTGCCGGCGGTGTCACGAGCCCAGGGCGGCTGCAGCGGCGACGGCGCCTGGAGCGACGGCGCGGGACCGCGCCGCGTTGCGCCCGTGGGGACCGTGCCGAGACCCCCGGCGGCGGTTCCCCCGGGCGCCGGCGTGCCGTAGCCCGGGCTGGACCTGCGTCGCCCGGCGGCGCCGGAGCGGCGGCTGAGGCTGGCGTGGCGACTCAGCGGCGGCGGCGGCGGCAGCGGCGGCGGCGGCGACGCCGGGTCGGGGCGGGGCGAGCAGCGGGTCACGGCTATGTGGATCGAAGAGGCGCGGCCGTCTCCGCCGCGAGGCGACGGAGACGGCCGCGGGCCGGCGAGCGAAGGGGCGAGCTCAGCGAGCGAGCGTCCGTGGTGAGGGGGAGACGAGGAGGAGGGGGGGGAGGAGGAGGAGGTGAACGAGGCGGTGGCGACGTTGGCGCCCAGCATCATCTCCCGGTCGCGGCGCACCATGGTGCGGATCATCTCGCGCTCGTGGGCGCCACACAGCCCGGTGCTCATGTCGTGCTCCACCTTGTGCAGCAGGATCGAGTTCTTCTTGCCTGCGGTGTGACGACAACAACAACAACGACAACGACATCAACAACGACATCATCAACAATAACGACAGTATCAACAATAACAACATCAACGATCACGACATCAACAACAACAATAACAACATCAACAAATAACTACATCAACAACGACATCAACAACAACATCAACAACAATAACAACATCAACAACAACAACAACAACCACGACATGACCCGGAGATCCCGTAGCTCTATGCTGAAAGGTGAGTGGGTAGATGGGTCCGTGAGTAGGTCAGTGAATGCGTAATTGAGTAGGTCAGTGAGTGGGTCAGTGAGTGGGTGAGTGGTTAGGTGAGTGGGCAGGTGGGTCAGTGGGTAGTTCAGTGAATGGGTAAGTGGGTAGGCGATTGGGTAGGTAGGTCAGTGGGTCAGTCAGCGAGTGGTTAGGTGGGTAGGTGAGTGGGTAAGTGGGTGAGTGGGTAGGTGAGTGCTTAGGTGGGTCAGTGGACAGGTCATATAGTGGGTAAGTTGAAGGGTGAGTGGGTAGGTGGGTGAGTGGGTCAGTGAGTGGGTAAGCGGGTAAGTGTGTAGGTGAGTGCGTAGGTAGGTCAGCGGATAGGTCAGTTAGTGGGTAATTTGAAGGGTGAGTGGGTAGGTGGGTGAGTGGGTAAGTCAGTGAGTGGGTCAGTGAGTGAGTAAGTGGGAAAGTGGGTAGGTGAGTGCGTATGTGGGTCAGCGGATAGGTCAGTTAGTGGGTAAGTTGAAGGGTGAGTGGGTAGGTGGGTGAGTGGCTCAGTGAGTGGGTAAGCGGCTAAGTGGCTAGGTGAGTGCGTAGGTGGGTCAGCGGATAGGTCAGTTAGTGGGTAAGTTGAAGGGTGAGTGGGTAGGTGGGTGAGTGGGTAGGTCCGTGAGTGGTTAGGTCAGTGAGTGGCTCAGTGAGTGGGTAAGTGGGTAGGTGAGTGCGTAGGTGGGTCAGCGGATAGGTCAGTTAGTGGGTAAGTTGAAGGGTGAGTGGGTAGGTGGGTGAGTGGCTCAGTGAGTGGGTAAGCGGGTAAGTGGCTAGGTGAGTGCATAGGTGGATTAGCGGTTAGGTCAGTTAGTGGGTAAGTTGAAGGGTGAGTGGGTAGGTGGGTGAGTGGTTAGGTCAGTGAGTGGCTCAGTGAGTGGGTAAGTGGCTAGGTGAGTGCATAGGTGGGTCAGCGGATAGGTCAGTTAGCGGCTAAGTTGAAGGGTGAGTGGCTCGGTGGGTGAGTGGGTAGGTCAGTGAGTGGCTCAGTGAGCGGGTGAGTGGGTTGAGCGGTTAGGTGATAAGCGTATCAGCGGGTAGGTGATTCAGTGGCTGAGTTGGTTGAGGTGGGTGGGGTTGGTGTGCGTTGCTGCGGTTTGCGGTAGCCGCACCGATGCGGTTGAGGCGGTCGATGGCGACGCTCTCGAGGGCGCGGCGCATCACGGGGTGCTCCTCAAGCACGGCGGCGAAGTGCTCGCTGGACAGCGAGAAGAGGCGGCAGTAGGTGTCGGCGCGCACGCTCGCCGTGCGCCGCCCACGCGTCAGCAGGCAGATCTCTGCGGCCGCGGCGGCGGAGGCGGTGGTGGTGGTGGTGGAGCGGAGGGGCGGGGAGAAGGTTACACGTGGGACGTTTAAACTGGAGGGCTTGGGGGAGGGTTCGTGAGTGATGGCGTTGGCGAGTTGTGAATTGAGAGCCACACTGCTGCCCGCAACGCCTAGCCCTGACTCTGTCCCTCCCTGGCCCCTCCACCTCCCTACTCCCCCTCTCCCTACTCTCTCCCTACTCCCTACTCTCTCCCTACTCTCTCCCTACTCCCTACTCTCTCCCTACTCTCTCCCTACTCTCTCCCTACTCTCTCCCTACTCTCTCCCTACTCCCTACTCTCTCCCTACTCCCTACTCTCTCCCTACTCCCTACTCTCTCCCTACTCCCTACTCTCTCCCTACTCCCTAATCTCTCCCTACTCTCTCCCTACTCTCTCCCTACTCTCTCCCTACTCCCTACTCTCTCCCTACTCCCTACTCTCTCCCCACTCCCTACTCTCTCCCTACTCCCTACTCTCTCCCTACTCTCTCCCTACTCTCTCCCTACTCCCTACTCTCTCCCTACTCCCTACTCTCTCCCTACTCTCTCCCTACTCTCTCCCTACTCTCTCCTTACTCCGTACTCTCTCCCTACTCCCTACTCTCTCCCTACTCCCTACTCTCTCCCTACTCTCCCCCTACTGCCTCCCAACTCCCTCCTCCCTGCCTACTCGCCCCTTGTCCCTCCCTACTCCCTCCCCCCCCCCCCCCCCCACACACCGCCACCTCGGTACCCCCCTCACCTCCGAAGTAGCAGCCATCAGAGAGCTTGGTGTCCACGGCGGCGGCGGCGGTACCACCGCCACCACCACCACCACCGCCACCACCACCACCACCACCACCGCTGCCACCACCGCTGCCGCGCGAGAGCACGCTGAGCAGGCCGTGCTGCACGAAGAACATCCGCGTGCCCACAGTGCCCTCGCGCACCACCAGGTCGCCCGGCTGGAAGACCTCGAAGCGGAGCTTGGTGAGCACGCACGTGACGAAGGCCGGGTCGGCCGTGGCGAACAGCGGCATCGTGGCCACCAGCTGGCGGCAGTTGTAGTTGACGATCTCCTGTGTTCCCGGGGGGCGGGGGGGGGTGGGGGTGGGAGTGGGGGGGTGGGAGTGGGGGGGGGGGTGGAGTGGGAGTGGTAGGGGTGGAGTGGTAGGGGTGGAGTGGGAGAGTGTAGCGGGGGGGGGGTTGAGTGGGGGGGTGTAGCGGGGAGTGGGGGGTTGGAATGGGGGGGGTGGAGTGGGGGGGGGTTTAGAGGGGGAGGGTGGAATGGGGGGGGTTGAGTGGGGGGGGGGTGTAGAGGGGGAGGGTGGAATGGGGGGGGGTGGAGTGGGGGGGGTGTAGAGGGGGAGGGTGGAATGGGGGGGGGGGGTTGAGTGGGGAGGGGGGTCAAGCGGTCGCACCTTCAAAAATCGCTTTACAGAAACGCGTTGTGGCTCGCCGGTGCTGGAGGTGGTGGAGGAGGGGGGTGAGTGAGGGGATGAGTGAGGGGATGAGTGAGGGGATGAGTGAGGGGATGAGTGAGGGGATGAGTGAGGGGATGAGTGAGGGGATGAGTGAGTTGGTCAAAAGCCCGGGTGAGTGGGTGGGTAGGCAGGCAGGCGGGCGGGCGGGCGGGCGAGCGAGCGAGCGAGTGGATTGCGGATTCCGATTGCACAAACCGCGGCAGATGCGGCTAACCTGACGATGCACGGACTGGACAATTGCAAACTCTCCATTGGCAGCGAGCGAGCGAGTGTGGTCATCCACACCGGGAGCGTGGTGCAACCAATAGACGCCGCGAACCACAAACACGAGGAGGGAGACATCACGGCGGGCGTCTGGGCTGGACCACCTGAACGTGGGATTGCAGTCGTTGGCTCTGCATGGACATCGGCGACCGTGCACGACAGGGAGAAGGAAGCAAACCCTTGGCCGATGAAGCCATCCGCTCGGCTACGGCTCCCAACGCAACGCTTAGCCACCTCCTCACCCCAACTCGTGTTTGCGGTTTTTGTTTTTTTTAAACCTGGACTTTTCTGTTTTGCGCATGAGTCGCTTTAAGATGTTTTCCTGCTCATGGTTTATTTTTTTGTTTGTTGGGGTTGCAACCCGACTCAAGATCCCAGCGGCTCACAGGGAGGGCTCCCACCAAATGAATGAAACTGCAACTGCGTCACGGCTCAATAACGTTGCAATATAATAATCATAGTCATCGTAACAAGCGGGAGGCTTTCACTGTCGTCCGTAATGCAGGTTTTGATCATAGAGATAGACACACAGAGTCCGTACACCCTTACCCGTGTGGACTAATCTCCATCCGAGAATATTTTTTTCCCCTTTTTTTTTCCACTGGCAACAAAACAGCCGTGTTAAGATGTTAAAACACCAAACTGAAAACTTTTTTTGCGAGGAATCACGTCACTGCATTCGCCACAATGCTCGTGGCCAGAATGCAAATAAAAAACATGCTCTGATAACACAGCTGTTTTGTTGCCAGAAAAAAAGGGGAAAACCCTATGGTCATATTTTGGTACTGGCAAAGGAGATCCCATGAAATACAGGTTTTGTTTGGGGGGGGTTTAGATGGCGTAAACTATATGTGTCGGTAAACCCGCCACCACCCGACACGGCCAGCTAGTAAATGTTGTGGGTTTGCTCAACAATACACCGGTGTGCTGTAAAAGTAACTTGACAAAACCCTTCATAAATTAACCCAGGGGGTCCCCAAACCCCGGGCCGCGGACCGGTACTGGCCCGTGGCCTGTTAGGAACCGGGCCGCACAGCAGGAGGAGGTGAGAGCGGTGAGTCCGCACGTGGCTCGCCGCCATTATTTTATTATTCACCACTTGCGTCCGCGCCTCTTTTCCCGCACTGTGCACTCGTCTCAGTCACGTGGTGTTGGTAAGCCCACGAGCTCTAACCCCCTAGTAGCCACAATGAGTTAAAAAACAACAGACGTAGCTGGAGAGCTTCTTTGAAAAGGGGGAAAGACCAAATGGTGACCCCCCCCCCCCCCCCTCCGTGAAATTTTCTGTCTTCCACGAAACCGGTCCCTGGTGCCAAAAAGGTTGGGGACCGCTGATCTAACCCACGAAAAAAAAACCCTTTAATACGAATAATTATTCATCATCACGTTTCCGTGAATTCCATTCCGTCCACGTGTACAAGGGCAGCAGCCGCAGCAGTAGCAGCGGCGGTGTTTTAATTCAGGTGCTCGATGGCAACTGTTGAGGTCCTGCTGCTGTTGCTGGTGCTGCTGCTGCTGGCCACGACGAGAGAGAGTTTGTGTCGTGTCGCTGATCCTCCTCCTCCTCCGTTAAACGACGCGAACTCGTTTAGTTTTTGGTCCACAGACCCATCGACTCAAATTGCCCAACGACTATCATTGCCCATAGACTATCATTGCCCATGGACTATCATTGCCCATAGATTATCATTGCCCATAGACTATCATTGCCCATGGACTATCATTGCCCATGGACTATCATTGCCCATAGATTATCATTGCCCATAGATTATCATTGCCCATGGACTATCATTGCCCAACGACTATCATTGCCCATAGACTATCATTGCCCATAGACTAACATTACCCATAGACTATCATTGCCCATAGACTAACATTGCCCATAGACTATCATTGCCCATAGACTAACATTGCCCATAGACTATCATTGCCCATAGACTATCATTGCCCATAGACTAACATTGCCCATAGACTATCATTGCCCATAGACTATCATTGCCCATAGACTATCATTGCCCAACGACTATCATTGCCCATAGACTAACATTGCCCATAGACTATCATTGCCCATTGACTATCATTGCCCATAGACTATCATTGCCCATTGACTATCATTGCCCATAGACTATCATTGCCCAAAGACTATCATTGCCCATAGACTATCATTGCCCATAGACTATCATTGCCCATAGACTAACATTGCCCATAGACTATCATTGCCCATTGACTATCATTGCCCATAGACTATCATTGCCCATTGACTATCATTGCCCATAGATTATCATTGCCCAAAGACTATCATTGCCCATAGACTATCATTGCCCATAGACTATCATTGCCCATAGACTAACATTGCCCATAGACTATCATTGCCCATAGACTAACATTGCCCATAGACTATCATTGCCCATAGACTATCATTGCCCATAGACTATCATTGCCCATTGACTATCATTGCCCATAGACTATCATTGCCCATTGACTATCATTGCCCATAGACTATCATTGCCCAAAGACTATCATTGCCCATAGACTAACATTGCCCATAGACTATCATTGCCCATAGACTAACATTGCCCATAGACTATCATTGCCCATAGACTATCATTGCCCATAGACTATCATTGCCCAACGACTATCATTGCCCATAGACTATCATTGCCCATAGACTATCATTGCCCATAGACTATCATTGCCCATAGACTATCATTGCCCATAGACTATCATTGCCCATAGACTATCATTGCCCATTGACTATCATTGCCCATAGACTATCATTGCCCATAGACTATCATTGCCCATAGACTATTATTGCCCATGGACTATCATTGCCCATAGACTATCATTGCCCATAGACTATTATTGCCCATGGACTATCATTGCCCATAGACTATCATTGCCCATAGACTATCATTGCCCATAGACTATCATTGCCCATAGACTATCATTGCCCATTGACTATCATTGTCCATAGACTATCATTGCCCATAGACTATCATTGCCCATAGACTATCATTGTCCATAGACTATCATTGCCCATAGACTAACATTGCCCATAGACTATCATTGCCCATAGACTATCATTGTCCATAGACTATCATTGCCCATAGACTAACATTGCCCATAGACTATCATTGCCCATAGACTATCATTGCCCATAGACTATCATTGCCCATAGACTATCATTGCCCAGTGACTATCATTGCCCATAGACTATCATTGCCCATAGACTATCATTGCCCATAGACTAGCATTGCCCATAGACTATCATTGCCCATAGACTATCATTGCCCATAGACTATCATTGCCCATTGACTATCATTGCCCATAGACTATCATTGCCCATAGACTATCATTGCCCATAGACTAACATTGCCCATAGACTATCATTGCCCATTGACTATCATTGCCCATAGACTATCATTGCCCATAGACTATCATTGCCCATAGACTATCATTGCCCATAGACTATCATTGCCCATTGACTATCATTGCCCATAGACTATCATTGCCCATAGACTATCATTGTCCGTAGACTATCATTGCCCATAGACTAACATTGCCCATAGACTATCATTGCCCATAGACTATCATTGTCCATAGACTATCATTGCCCATAGACTAACATTGCCCATAGACTATCATTGCCCATAGACTATCATTGCCCATAGACTATCATTGCCCATAGACTATCATTGCCCAGTGACTATCATTGCCCATAGACTATCATTGCCCATAGACTATCATTGCCCATAGACTATCATTGCCCATAGACTATCATTGCCCATGGACTATCATTGCCCATGGACTATCATTGCCCATAGACTATCATTCCCCATAGACTATCATTGCCCATGGACTATCATTGCCCATAGACTATCATTGCCCATAGATTATCATTGCCCATTGACTATCATTGCCCATATACTAACATTGCCCAGTGACTATCATTGCCCATAGACTATCATTGCCCATAGACTATCATTGCCCATAGACTATAATTGCCATTAGGCTATATTTGACCATAGACTAAAAATTGCCCATCGATTTAACTTTACCCATAGACTGACGTTTGCCCTAGGCTAACATTTGCCGATAGACTTACCATTGCCCATACGCTGTTCTCATTCGAGAGTATTGCAATGTGAATCTTGACCTAAAGCTTTCGCGACTGGCAGGAATTCATATTCTTTGGGTCTTTCGGTAAAGTCACGTAGAAAGGTTCGAATAAAATAAAAAAAAAATAACCGAAAAAACGACGACGTTTCGATCGCAACACAAGCGGTCATCTTCAGGAAGAGGCGGGTTAGTTTCCAAGGAAAGGCAAGCAACGTCGAAGTTCCGTTGATATTTTCTTTGAACCTATCTACGTAACTTCACCGAAACACCCAAGAATATTGCAACGTGGTTCGGGAGCTGCGTCGAGGTCTGCGTCTGCTGCTGCTGCTGCTGGCCACGTCAAGAGGGCTTCAACAGAGAGAGTCCATCTGGTTGTGCGGCTTTGCCGTGTACCGTAGATTAACGAGGCAAATCTATCGCATCTCATTTCCCGAGGTAATTTGTTGCCATCGCACTGCCCATGTGTGCACTGGGGTTGCTGCTCTGCAACGCACAACCCCTGGCAAAATAAGGCCTTAATGTCGCGGGATGAGGCCTGGGCCAGAGCACCACGTGGACATGAGGGGTCAGAGGTCACGGAGCCGCCACCCGCCGAGAGCCTGGGCTCCAATCCGGGTTTTAGCCCCGACCACAGCGATTACACCGGGGACTCATAGACTCACATAGAGACCCGTGGAGACCCCACATACTCAAATAGAGGCACATCGACGTACACAGAGGCATATAGAGACCCAAATAGAGATCCACGGACTCAAATAGAGACCCACACTCTCACATAGACACACATAGAAGACCCACAAACTCAAATAGACACCCACAGACACACATAGACTCACGTAGAGACACATCGACTCACATAGATACCCATAGACTCACATAGAGGACCAGAGACTCATATAGAGACCCACAGACTCACATGAGATCCACATAGGGACCCACAGACTAAAATTCAGACCCATAGTCTCATACAAAAACAAATTGACTGATAGATACGCATAAACTCACATAGATACCCATAGACTCACGTAGAGAACCAGAGACTCACATAGAAACTCACAGACTCATATGGATACCGATAGATGCCTATAGATACCCATACAATCATACAGAGACCCATAGACTCACATAGACTGAGTTGGTGTGATTAAACTGGGTTCCCAAGTGTAGTGAGTTGATGGTATCAGCCCAGTCCCCATTTACGGAATAAATAACGACAACGACAACAACAAAAAACGCATCACAGTAAATTTGGCCCTGCACTTAAATTTGCCCTCGATCTCAACTCCGAAAATTAAATCATCCGTCTGAGCGTCACGCAAGCGAGCGTCGTTTCTGGCAACGGCTGAGCGGGTCGGAGAGCGGTCAAACCATCTTTGGAGACGTGGTCGAATGCAGAGCCAGAGCGAGCACCGAGACACGGGTGGAGTGGTGGCGCTGCGGTTAGCGCCACCCACGAGAACCCCGGGTTACACTCCGGGCCCAGAGCCGGATCCCTGGCCCGCTCTCTCGTCCGCCACCCAGCATGGTGAAGCATTGTCAAATAAAGATTGTGAAAAGTTCATTTGTTGATGTTTAATGATTTATCCAGGAGAGGCATACCGCGAAGGCAACGGTGTTAGCTACCTCGCCTGGTATACAGGAGGTCGTGGGTTCGATCCGACCCTTGACACCTGCTGTGTATTTGGTGTTTGTGGTCTCTCTCTCTCATAATCATCATCATCATGATGGCTAGGAGATGTTAGCTACCTCGCCTGGTATACAGGAGGTCGTGGGTTCGATCCGACCCTTGACGCCTGCTGTGTATTTGGAGTTTGTGGTGTCTCTCTCTCATCATCATCATCATGGTGGCTAGGAGATGTTAGCTACCTCGCCTGGTATACAGGAGGTCGTGGGTTCGATCCGACCCTTGACACCTGCTGTGTATTTGGTGTTTGTGGTGTCTCTCTCTAATAATCATCATCATCATGATGGCTAGGAGATGTTAGCTACCTCGCCTGGTGTACAGGAGGTCGTGGGTTCGATCCGACCCTTGACACCTGCTGTGTATTTGGAGTTTGTGGTGTCTCTAACTTTCTCATCATCATCATCATGGTGGCTATGAGATGTTAGCTACCTCGCCTGGTTTACAGGAGGTGGTAGGTTCGATCGCGACCCTGACACCTGTTGGATATTTGGAGATGAGTGTCTCTCTCTCATGATAATTACAGTGGCTGGATATGTTAACTGCCTCGCCTCATCTACAGGAGGTGGTGGGTCCTAGCCTGACCCTGACGATGCCTACTGCTGTTTATTTATAGTTTGCAGTGTCTCTCTCTTATCATCATCATCACAGTGGCTAGGAGATGTTAACTACCTCGCTTGGGATACAGGAGGTCGTGGGTTCGATCCCGACCGTGATGCCTGCTGTATATGTGGAGTTTGCGGTGTCTTTCTCTCTCTCATCATCATCACGGTGGCTAAGAGATGCTAACTACCTCGCCTGGTATACAGGAAGTCGTGGGTTCGATCCTACCCTGATGCCTACTGCTGCAAATATATTTGGAATTTGAGCCTCTCTTAATTATTTTCAGAAATTATTATGGAAATATATTTTTTTTTAATCCGGGACTTGGCTGCAATGGATGTCCACGTGTTGATGATGATGATGAGCCACTTCGATGAGCTACATCATTTGTGATCGCTTCGATCGATTCTGAAAGATAGCTAACAGAGCTCAGTGGGCCTTGCCTGGTTAAACAAACATAGTTTAAATTTTGATTTAAAGCTTTCGTGACTGCAGGGATTCATATTCTTGGTTATTATTTTATTGTTTCCCTTCTGCGTGACTTTACCGAAAGAACCAAGAATATAAACAGAGTTTAGTTTAACACAGGCTACCGCGACCAATGTCATCCATAATAGAGTTTTTTTTGGGTTAGATCGTGTAAATATATAAATGTGTCGTTAAACCCGCCACCACCCGACACAGCCAACTAGTAAGGTTTGTCACGTAACACGGAACGTGGCCAATTCGTCACTAGTACAGCACTAGTGTGTAGTGTAGTGTATAGTGTAGTGCATAGTAGTGTATAGTAGTGTATAGTAGTGTAGTGTATAGTGTAGTGTATAGTAGTGTAGTGTATAGTAGTGTATAGTAGTGTATAGTAGTGTAGTGTATAGTGAAATGTATAGTGTATAGTGGAGTGTATAGTAGTGTAGTGTATAGTGTAGTGTATAGTAGTGTAGTGTATAGTGTAGTGTATAGTGAAGTGTATAGTGTATAGTAGTGAAGTGTATAGTGTAGTGTATAGTAGAGTGTATAGTAGTGTAGTGTATCGTAGTGTAGTGTATAGTTTAGTGTATAGTGTAGTGTATAGTGTAGTGTATAGTAGTGTAGTGTATAGTGGAGTGTATAGTAGTGTAGCGTATAGTGGAGTGTATAGTAGTGTCGTGTATAGTGTAGTGTATAGTAGTGTATAGTAGTGTATAGTGTAGTGTATAGTAGTGTAGTGTATAGTGTAGTGTATAGTGAAGTGTATAGTGTAGTGTATAGTAGTGAAGTGTATAGTGTAGTGCATAGTAGTGTAGTGTATAGTAGTGTAGTGTATAGTAGTGTAGTGTATAGTGTAGTGTATAGTAGTGTAGTGTATAGTAGTGTATAGTAGTGTAGTGTATAGTGTAGTGTATAGTGTAGTGTATAGTGTAGTGTATAGTAGTGTAGTGTATAGTGTAGTGTACAGTGAAGTGTATAGTGTAGTGTATAGTAGTGTAGTGTATAGTGGAGTGTATAGTAGTGTCGTGTATAGTGTAGTGCTGTACCAGTATACTACACTATACACTACACTACTATACACTACACTACTATACACTACACTACTATACACTACACTATACACTACTATACACTACACTATACACTATAATACATTGTTGTTGTCATGGTTGTTGTGATTGTTGCTGCCGTCTTTGTCGTCACTGTTGTTGTGATTGTTGTTGTTGTGATTGTTGTTGTTGTGATTGTTGTTGTTGTTGTTGACGACGCGTGGCTGCCCCCTCTCACCTGCTTGAGCGGCTCGCTGAGCTCCCCCAGGATGTTGTCCTCGTCAAACATCTTCCCCTGGTAGCGGTGCTCGTAATACTCGTGGATGCGCTGGCGCATGTCCGTGGGCAGCTTGTGGAAGGACATGTACTGCTCCACTTGCTTGTACTGCACGTGGGGGAGTGGAGAAGGAGGGGGAGAGATAAACAACAACAACAACAACAACAACGACGACGTTGATTATTGACTTTCCACCACGGCAGGCCACGTGACGATCCGGCCAAACATGTGCGGGGGAGGATGGAGGAGGGTGGGGACAGGGAGATACACAACAACAAACACAACAACAACGACGACGTTGATTATTGACTTTCAATCACGGCAGGCCACGTGACGATCCGGCCAAACTCGTGGAGTCCAGAGCCCTCCACCGCCCACGCAGATCTCCACCCCCCTCGTGAGTGGCACTCCAGAGATCCTGGAGTTCACTCGATTTTCACTCGAAGCTTCCGTGACTGCAGGGATTCATATTGTTCGGTCCTTTCGGGAAAGTCACGTAGATAGAAGAAAAATAATAATGATGAAGTCATTAAAAAATGAAAATAATAAAAATAATAGAACAAAAAAATACAAATTTCGATGAAGGCCGCTTGTGTTGTGGCCGAAACGTCGTGAGAATTTTAATTGTGTTATTTTATTTTATCAACTTATTATTTTATTCTCATTCTACGTGACTTTACCGAAAGAACCAAAGAAGAAGAAAAAATTACAAATATAATATACACATCTATTCTTATTTTCGTTTTTATTAACTTTTTTTTTTCTATCTACGTGACTTCACGGAAAGAGCCAAAGAATATTCACTCGATTTGACTGAACTTGAAATGAGACTGACACCGCTCCCCCTCCTCTCCTCTACCCCCCCCCCACTCCCCGCATTCCCCCCGGGCATCCCCGAAGACAAGAGTGGAATCTGCCGCACGACGCTACTGCCCCTACGCGATCCGTACGAGCCGCCGATCGAGCACCATGCACCGCTCACCTCTCGCGGAAGTTTCACACCCACGCACCCCTCCCCCCGCTCTCTCCCGCCCCACCCCCACCCCCGGTTGGATCAATAAAAATAATTTCACAACAAACTCTCCACCACCCGATGCGCCCGACGCCAGCGCGCGGGATCGTCACCGCAGCCCGTGAGCGGCTCCCGTAGCCGCTGGCGGTGGCTAGGGAGATGTTAACTACCTCGCCTGGTACGCAGGAGGTCGTGGGTTCTATCCCTCTCTCATCATCATCATCATCAGGGTGGCTAGGGAGATGTTAACTACCTCGCCTGGTACGCAGGAGGTCGTGGGTTCGATCCCTCTCTCATCATCATCACGGTGGCTAGGGAGATGTTAACTACCTCGCCTGGTACGCAGGAGGTCGTGGGTTCGATCCCTCTCTCATCATCATCACGGTGGCTAGGGAGATGTTAACTACCTCGCCTGGTACGCAGGAGGTCGTGGGTTCTATCCCTCTCTCATCATCATCACGGTGGCTAGGGAGATGTTAACTACCTCGTCTGGTACGCAGGAGGTCGTGGGTTCTATCCCTCTCTCATCATCATCACGGTGGCTAGGGAGATGTTAACTACCTCGCCTGGTACGCAGGAGGTCATGGGTTCTATCCCTCTCTCATCATCATCACGGTGGCTAGGGAGATGTTAACTACCTCGCCTGGTACGCAGGAGGGTCGTGGGTTCTATCCCTCTCTCATCATCATCATCATCAGGGTGGCTAGGGAGATGTTAACTACCTCGCCTGGTACGCAGGAGGTCGTGGGTTCGATCCCTCTCTCATCATCATCACGGTGGCTAGGGAGATGTTAACTACCTCGCCTGGTACGCAGGAGGTCGTGGGTTCGATCCCTCTCTCATCATCATCACGGTGGCTAGGGAGATGTTAACTACCTCGCCTGGTACGCAGGAGGTCGTGGGTTCTATCCCTCTCTCATCATCATCACGGTGGCTAGGGAGATGTTAACTACCTCGCCTGGTACGCAGGATGTCGTGGGTTCTATCCCTCTCTCATCATCATCACGGTGGCTATGGAGATGTTAACTACCTCGCCTGGTACGCAGGTCGTGGGTTCGATCCCGACCCTGACCCCTGCTGCTGCTGTATATTTGGAGTTTGCGTCTCTCTCTCATCATCATCACGGTGGCTAGGGAGATGTTAACTACCTCGCCTGGTACACAGGAGTACGTGGGTTCGATCCCGACCCTGACACCTGTTGGATATTTGGAGTTTGCGTCTCTCTCTCTCATCATCATCATCACGGTGGCTAGGGACATGTTAACTACCTCGCCTGGTATGCACGAGGTCGTGGGTTAGATCCGGACCCTGACACCTGTTGTATATTTGGAGTTTGCGTCTCTCTCTCATGATCATTACGGTGGCTAGGAGATGTTAACTGCCTCGCCTGGTATGCAGGAGGTCGTGGGTTCGATTCCGTCCCTGACGCCTGTTGGATATTTGTGAGTTTGCGGTGTCTTTCGCTCTCTCATCATCATCACGGTGGCTAGGAGATGTTAACTACCTCGCCTGGTCTACAGGAAGCCGTGGGTTCGATCCCGACCCTAACGCCTGCTGCTGCTGTATATTTGGAGTTGGCGGTGTCTCTCTCTCTCTCTCTGTCTCTCTCTCGTTAGTGTCGTGGATTCTTCTCCACGCGTTTAGAGCAAAGCGATACGCCACTTCGTCGGGGGTCGCTTCTCAGTTTGGGGGGCCCTTACACCTGGTAACACACAAAAAGTTAATTGTGTAATAGTTTATCTCTCTCTCTCTCTCGAGAGAGAGACCCTTGGCTACAATTACATTTGACCGACAGGACGCGAGGCGCACGGGGATTGGATATCGCGTGCGTTGTCCGTTGTCCCGATAATTGCGGTGGAGCTATCAGTGGTGGTGGGGGGGGGGGGGGCGGGGGGGCGTGGGGGGTCGTTACCAGTTTGGAGAGACCGCCCAGGGGGCAGCTGAGCATAGCGGGGGGTGGGGGGGGGTGTGGGGGACGGTGCCGCTTTAAAGCGGCTAATGTTAACCTTTGTTAATGCGTAAGCCCCCGAACGCCCCCCTACAACGCCGCGTGAGCATCATTCGCATGCGCGCGTGTGGCCAATGGCAAAGAAGCCCCCCCCCCCGCCCCCACAGCGTGTAGGCTACACCCCAGGCTGTCGGGGCAAGTGCCGTGGAGCGCCGAGCACCCGGCGCTAACCGCTGCGCCACCGCTCCCCACAACAACAACAACAGCAGCCGTCGTTCGTCGCTAAGTGGCGAACGACAGTGCCAAGCTAGGTGCACTTTGAGGCCACCACGTGCAGTGACGAAGGCTCGCTGCTGGCAGGAAGTCACGGGACAGTCCCAGGTCCCATGGGGTTGACTGACTGAGATGACGGGCAGATGCTACAAGCTGTGCACCCCACTGTGCCAGGCTAGGTGCAGGAGGAGGTCACGGGACAGTCCCAGGTCCCATGGGGTTGACTGACTGAGATGACCGGCAGATGCTTCCAGCTGTGCTCCCGACTGTGCCAGGCTAGGTGCAGGAGGAGGTCACGGGACAGTCCCAGGTCCCATGGGGTTGACTGACTGAGATGACCTTCAGATGCTACCAGCTGTGCACCCCACTGTGCCAGGCTAGGTGCAGGAGGAGATCACGGGACAGTCCCAGGTCCCATGGGGTTGACTGACTGAGATGACCTTCAAATGCTTCCAGCTGTGCTCCCCACTGTGCCAACTCGTTACGTTTTATCCGCACACAAATACAAAGATCCCCCGTATAGCCTTAACAGACTTGTAGGGGCAAGTGCTGTTTGCGAGCACCTATGAAGGCCGGCACGGCACACGAGGGGGTGGGTGGCCAGCACCACGCCCGACCGTCTTTGTCTCCCCAGTGGCGATATTTACACACCGCACCAGGTACTCATTTGGGGCTGATTCGACCTAGGGGAGGCCCGGGACCGGTTCAAATAATCGCCATCGGTTTTGACCGTGAGCGGGAATCGAACTCGGGTCGCCGGGTTCGTAGCGCAGCGTAGCGCTAACCGCTGCACCACCGCACACACACGCACGCTCAAAGACAAAGCTCCCCCGTGTAGCCTACACAGACTGTTGGGCCAAGTGCAGTTAACGAGAAGTAGCACCGATAAATACCCCCGGCCGCCTTTGTCTCCCTATTGCCAACATTTCATGCACAGCGCACCAGGAATTCATTTGAGCCTGAGTCGACCTACACACGTGTACACAGACACACACACACACACACGTGTGTACCAATACCCGCCATTTAACACTAAAAATGACGGTGACATCACCACGACTCCTGCGCCAGGCTAGGTGAACTTTGAGGCCACGGAAAGTGTTGAAGGCTCTCGCTGCTGGCAGGAGGAGGTCTCGGGACAGACCCAGTGGGTGCCATGGGTTGGCCGACTGAGATGACCGGTAGATGCACCGCCTGTGCCCTCTACTGTGCCAACTTGTTACATTTTAGTCGCCCTGCGCTCCGCTCGTTGTTGTGAGCGTCGCTTCTTCACCCTTCGCTGTTGTTGGAGGGCGACTGCCTCCAACTGCCCAGCAGCAGCGTCCTTCACGAGCCTCCTCCACAGAGGCCGATCTTGACACCGCTGGTACCAGCCATCAGCAAGTCCACTCAGCTCCACGTCCTCTTGTACCACATCACTCCATCTCTTCTCCAGCCCGTGCCCTGCCAATTGAGCCTCCTCTATCTGGCCAAACAGACGCTGCTTGGGCATGCGGTGGCTGGGCATGCGGGCTACATGACTCTTTGAACGCAGCCTTGCCTGCTGGAGGAGCTCACTGATGGGAATGGGTCCAGATCTTTCAAGGATTTGTGAGCTCGTCACATAATCCAGACGTACATACACACGTGTCCACGCACACCGACAAACACACACACGCGTACACGCGCATGTATACACACACGTACGTGCGCACACACACACGTACACATACAAAGACAAAGATCCCCCGTATTGAATTACCAGACTGTGGGGGCAAGTGCTGTTAGCGAGCACCTTTGAAGGCTGGCACGGCACACGAGGGGGTGGGTGGCCAACACCACGCCCGGCCGCCTTTGTCTCCCCAGTGGCGATGTTCACACGTCGCACCAGGTACTCATTTGAGACTGAGTCGACCTAGGAGAGGCCCAGGACCGGTTCAGATAATCGTCACTGGGTGTTGGCCGTGAGCGGGAATCGATCCCGGGTTGCCGGGTTCGGAGCGCAGCGCGCTAACCGCTACACTACCGCTCCCCACACACACGCACGCACACACACACGCACACACACACCTATACACACGCACACACACCCATACACGCACATTATGCACACACACGTGAACACACACACACCTATATACACACACCCACACACATGTACACATACACCTATACACACACGCGCACAGACACACATACACGTGTACACACACACACCTGCACGCACACATACACGTGTACACACACACACACACACCTATACACACCTATACACACATGCACGTGTACACACGCACACGTGTACACACACATACACACGTGTACACACATACACGTGTACACACACACGTGTACACACACACGTGTAGACACACATGTGTACACACACACGTGTAGACACACATGTGTACACACACACACACGTGTACACACACACACACCTATACACACACATACGCGCACACACACACACGTGTACACACGCACACGAGAGGCACTAATGCTGTGAGTCGGCTTAAGCCGCTAAGTCCGGGACAGAAGCATCCCGGACGTAGCGGGGCGTTCGTACGCACAGCACGATCGTCAGTGTAATCACCTCCCGCTCACCACCATCTCACCACCTGCTCACCGCCCTCTAACCGCCCGCTCGCTGCCCTCTCACCACGAGACTCACCGCTCGCTCACCACGAGACTCACCGCTCGCTCACCACGAGACTCACCGCTCGCTCACCGCCAGCTCACCGCGAGATTCACCACTCACTCACCACCTGCTCACCGCAAGTGTCACCCCCGCTCACCACCCGCTCACCACGATATTCCCTGCCCACTCACCACGAGACTCACCCCCGCTCGCCGCTTGCTCGCCGCAAGACTCACCCCCGCTCGCCACCGGCTCACCGCTAGCCTCACCCCAAAGGTGACCGGGGGAATGGCTCTGACTCCTGGCCGCGGAGCCTTAACCAGGCCTGCCCACCATCACGAAGGCCTCTAATGAGAGCCGGGGGCTCCAGCAACACGCAAAACAGCCCTAAAGCCCTGGCCTACTGACATTACCACAGTGCCTTGACCAGGCCAACAAGGCAAAGGCGTAGGTCTTGTTGGAATTGCCCACACCTCTGCTGTAGCAGATGGTCAGAGAATAATATGGCATCCGTGCAGGACCGCCCAGGCCTGAAGCCGCATTGGGGCTCCGCAAGCCTCTCCTCGGCATGCTGGCAGGCAAGGCGATGCTGAATAATCCTTGGCAGGACCTTTCACGGCACACCGAGGAGGGAGATGTCCCTGGAGTTGGTACAATCTGTATGATCGCCCTTCCTAAAAAGGTGGGTGGGTGGGGGTGGGGGGCACCAGGGCATCCTTCCAATTCTACGGAAAACCATCATGTTGCCAAGACAGCTGTATTGATGTCATGTAGCGTAGTCTGCACACAGGCGCCAATCCTTCCATCAATAGTTCGCTCGGGAGATCATCTCTGCCACTGATACTTCTTCAGTGGGTAACACCTCGGCCAGCCAATCATTAGGGGCCGTCCATAAATGACGTCACGCGATTTTGGACGATTTTTTACCCCTCCCCCCCCCCCCCATCGTCACACGGCATCACAAAAAGTCAGCCCCCCCCCCTCAAATATAACGTCACAAAGCTATGCCCCCCCTCCCCCCGCCCCCCCCCCCAAAAAAAAATAAAACATGCTTCAAATCGCTTTAAACTATTGTCATTGTAGTGCGTATTTAATGTGGCGCTGCACTCTGACGTTGTAGGAGTACACATTTATTTAAAAAAAGTCTATTTAATGAAGTAGAACGTGTTGCCTATATCCATTCAAAGTTGCGCAGTTTTACGTGACGTCACATTTCTCAACCCCCTCCCCCCCCCCACCTCGTCACACATCGTCACAAATGTCTGACTCCTCCCCCCTCTAGGTGCGTGACGTCAACGGCCCCGTTAGCGGTTGGCTTACTTCTGCCGATGTTTGAGGCACGGCAGCCCCAGCGGGGATCGTCCTCCACCTTTGCCCCACGATGTCGTCTCGGGTCGGAGGGAATTCTCCTCCACCCAAAGACCTCACAGCAATGCTTAAGCAAACCCGCGGACCCTGTTCTTGAGGCGGTCGGAGATCCGGTAAACTTTTCTCTCCCCGGTTTTATGCAAATTGATTTTTTTTATCTTCTTCATGGAATCAAAGAATGATTCGTGATCGCGGACTACCAAGGCAGACTCCGCCTTGCGCAGCTGATCAGCATGGTTGGCTACGTACGGTAGGCGAAACGAGCTCCACAAAGATACACATTCTCTCTCACACACACACGACATAGCCTGAACAGACCGTTAGAGCGCGCCACTGTTAGCGAGTAGCACCGATGAAGGCCGGAACGGTACACGAGGAGGAGGGGGGGATCAACACCACGCCCGACCGCCTTTGTCTCCCCAGTGGCGATGTTTTACACGCCGCACCAGGTACTCATTTGAGGCCGAGTCGAGCGAGGGGAGACCCATGACCGGTTTAAATAATCGCCACCGGTGTTGGCCGTGAGCGGGGAATCGAACTCAGGGTCCGCCGGGTTCGTAGCGCTGCGCTATGCTACACACACACGCACACACACACACGCACGCACGCGCACACACACGCATGCACACGCACACACGCACGCGCACGCACGCACACACGCACGCACACACAAACGCGCACACACGCACACACACACGCACACACACGCACACACACGTACACACGCACACACACGCGCACACGCACACACACACACGCATGCGCACGCACACACACGTGCACGCACGCACACACACACGCACGCACACACACGTACACACACGCACACACGCACACACACGCGCCCACGCACACACACACACAAACGCACACACACACGCACACACGCAAACGCACACACGCGCACACACGCACACACACACGCACACACACACGCACACACACACGCACACACACGTGTGCCCGAGGGTCACCTTCTCCTGGTACTGTCGACGCGAGGAGTCGAGCGACTGTATGAGCGCCGTGGCGTGCCCGATGAACATGGCGTAGCACGTGGCGCCCACGATCATGCTGAGCATGGTGAGCCACACGTCGGCCTGGCCCAGCGGGGCTCGCTGCCCGTAGCCGATGCACAGCATGTGGCTCATGGCCTTGAAGAGCGCGTACGAGTACTGGCGACCCCACGTGTCGTTCTGCGCGGGGGGAGGAGGGAGGACGGGGGGGGGGGCAGGTGCCAGAGTGGTGAGATGTTAACTACCTCGCCGGGTCTACAGGAGGTCGTGTGTTCGATCCCGACGCTGACGCCTGTTGTGTATTTGGAGTTTGCGTGTCTCTCTCTGTCTCTCTCATAATTATCACGGTGGCTATGAGATGTTAACTACCTCGCCGGGTCTACAGGAGGTCGTGGGTTCGATCCCGACGCTGACGTCTGCTGTGTATTTGGAGTTTGCTTGTCTCTCTCTGTCTCTCTCATAATTATCACGGTGGCTATGAGATGTTAACTACCTCGCCGGGTCTACAGGAGGGCGTGGGTTCGATCCCGACGCTGACGCCTGCTGTGTATTTGGAGTTTGCGTGTCTCTCTCTGTCTCTCTCATAATTATCACGGTGGCTATGAGATGTTAACTACCTCGCCGGGTCTACAGGAGGTCGTGTGTTCGATCCCGACGCTGACGCCTGTTGTGTATTTGGAGTTTGCGTGTCTCTCTCTGTCTCTCTCATAATTATCACGGTGGCTATGAGATGTTAACTACCTCGCCGGGTCTACAGGAGGTCGTGGGTTCGATCCCGACGCTGACGTCTGCTGTGTATTTGGAGTTTGCTTGTCTCTCTCTGTCTCTCTCATAATTATCACGGTGGCTATGAGATGTTAACTACCTCGCCGGGTCTACAGGAGGGCGTGGGTTCGATCCCGACGCTGACGCCTGCTGTGTATTTGGAGTTTGCGTGTCTCTCTCTGTCTCTCTCATAATTATCACGGTGGCTATGAGATGTTAACTACCTCGCCGGGTCTACAGGAGGTCGTGTGTTCGATCCCGACGCTGACGTCTGCTGTGTATTTGGAGTTTGCGTGTCTCTCTCTGTCTCTCTCATAATTATCACGGTGGCTATGAGATGTTAACTACCTCGCCTGCTATACAGGAGGGTGTGGGTTCGATCCCGACGCTGACGTCTGCTGTGTATTTGGAGTTTGCGTGTCTCTCTCTCTCTCTCTCCCTATGGTCGTGTGGTTCTCCGGTTTTTCTCTCTACATGTAGAATGAACATCACGCGTTGAGAGTTATTTCAGCTGCTATACATTTACACGTGGTGGTAATGATAATGAAAGCCCACTTCGGTCGAGCTGTTATTTCTGTGGTCCAGATCGATTCTGAAGAAAAAAAACAAGCTGCACATCTCAGTGGAGCCTTACCTGGCAAGCTAAACAAAAACATTGTTCATAGTTTATGTGGGTGGGTAGGTGAATGGGTTACGGGGGAAGGTGGGTGGATAGGTGAATGGGATATGGGAGTAGGTGGGTGGATAGGTGAATGGGTTACGGGGGTAGGTGGGTGGGAACGTGAATGGGTTAGTGGGTAGGTGGGTGGGAAGGTGAATGGGATACGGGGGTAGATGGGTGGGTAGGTGAATGGGATATGGGGGTAGGTGGGTGGGTAGGTGAATGGGTTACGGGGATAGGTGGGTGGGAAGGTGAATGGGTTACGGGGGTATGTGGGTGGGTAGGCGAATAGGTTACGGGGGTTGGTGGGTGGGAAGGTGAATGGGATACGCGGGTTGGTGAGTGGGAAAGTGGATGGGATATGGGGGTAGGTGGGTGGGTAGGTGAATGGGTTACGGGTTGTGGATGGGTGGGTAGGGGAATGAGGACGGGGGTAGGTGAGTGGGTAGGTGAATGGGTTACGGGGGTAAGTGGCTGGGTAGGTGAATGGGTTACGGGTTGTGGATGGGTGGGTAGGGGAATGCGTTACGGGGGTAGGTGGGTGGGTCGGGGAATTGGTTACGGGTTGTGGGTGAGTAGGTGAATGAATGACAGGAATGGTGGGTAGGTAGATGGGTGATGGGGTAGGTAGGTGGGTAGGTAGGTGGGTCAAGCGGTAGGTGGTGAGTAGGTGGGTGCGTAGGTGGGATAGGTTAGTGGGTGAGGGGGTAGGTGGGATGGGTTGGTGGGTGGGTAGTTTGGTGGGTGAAGGGGTAAGTGAGTGGGTAGTTGGGGTGAGTTGGGGTGAGTTGGTGGGTGGGTGCATACGAGAATGAATCGGAGGTTAGGTGTGTGGGTATGCATGAGGGTGGGTGCGTAGGTAGGTGTGTGGGTAGGTGGTTTTATAGGTAGCTACGGGGGTAGGTAAGTGAGTCGTGGCTAGGCGGGTAGGTAGGTAGGTAAAGGGGTCGGTGCAAGGGTACTTGGATGGGTAGGTCGTGGTTGGTTATGGTGGTAATTGTGTAGGTAGAAATGGGGTGGGTCGTGGGTTGTTGAGAGGATGAGTGGGTAGGTATGGGGGTTGGTGGTTGGATAAGTGGGTTAGCGGGACAGGCAGCGAGACAAATAATTACCAGACAGGCAGGCAGGCACAGTATTTAGAAATACTGTCCAGACATGGAACAACTTATCGACAGAAATTTGGACTGAGGGACGGGCTCACAGGCAAGACACATTGCAGACACACAGACAGTTTGACACATTGCAGGCTTTCGCGACCAATATTATCCATGATGGAGGGGTTGTTTTGTTAGTTAGTTAGATCGCGTAAATAGAAATGCGTCATTAAACCCGCCACCTACCCGTCACAGCCAATTAGTGAGGTTTGTCGCGTAAACAAAAGGTGCCCAATTAGTAACGGGGTCACCGCACCGGTTGTGTGTTTGGCGAGTAAACCCACAGCAGCAACTACAATTCGATTACCGTGACGTGACGATTACAACAACAACGACAACAACAGCAACGAGCATCGTCAGCCAGAATTGTGAATAAGTCTTCCTGTTTCGGTTTTAAAACTATTAAAAAGCAAGAAACGACTGTGTTTGTTTTATTTTACCAGGCAGGGCGCACTGATCTAAGTAGGTTTTTTTTTTATTTCAGAAACTACCTGGCCACAAATGTGGGCTTGTCATGTGAAAATGTTATAGTGGTTCGACATGTGGGGGGGGGGGGGGGGGGGGGGGGGGGAGGAAACCGGATGGCCCGGAGAAAAATCCACGCGACCACGTGGAGAGAGACACGCAAACGACAAAGATACATCCATAACACAGGTTTTTTTTTTTTAGCCAGATCGTGTAAATATATAAATGCGTCGTTAAACTCGCCACCACCCGACACAGCCAATTAGCAGGGGTTTGTCACGGAAACAGAACGTGGCCAATTCGTCACTAGTACAGCACACCGGTGTGGTGGAGAGCCAAGCCACAACATTTACAATCTGAGTCACGACGTTTCGCCAGGAATTCTTGCATGGACGCGGCATGCACCCATGATATTGTGTCGATGCGCCGATGCCGGAACAGCGTGTTGGTAATTACAAGCCCATGGGCTGCACAAAAATCTAGCAGCCTCCTACCGTTGTTATTGAGCTGATCTGGCCCATGCCCTCCAATCACTCCAGACCAGGTGCCAGCATCATGACCAACTCGGGCATTGAAGTCACCCAACAAGATACTCTATCCCGAGGGGCCACTTGAGCTAGCACCTGTGACAGGAGGTCATAGAAGGCATCTGACTCATCGGCCTTGCCTGCATCCCTCCACGGATGTTCGTCTTCAGTAGGGGCATAAGTAACTACGACTACCACTCCTCGCCTCTGGTTGATGGGAAGGCGAGCCCAAAGTAGCCTGGGGCTTACAGCTTCCCACACCTCACCGCCATGCTCCCACGCCCCCTTCATTATTTTGTTCAGAAGAAGGGCCACTCCCTGTTGTTTGTCAGTCTCCTGCCCCGAGTAGAGGACTGTCCACCCCTCATGGTAGTAGGAGCCAGAGCCGGTCCACCAGACCTCCTGAATACCACATAGATCCAGGCAGTACCGGTCCAGCTCCCGACAGAGGAATGGCAGCCTCTCCTCCACAGTGATCATTCGAACATTCCACGTGGCCACATGAAGTGTTTTGTTGTTGTTTCTGGAGGAGCCCCGAGGGTAAGGATTCAGTCTCCTGGCTCCGCCAAATGGTGTTTGGCCAGGATACGCCATTATTTATTAAATTTTGTCATCGTCTTTTAGAGGGAATTATTTGAAAGGTGGAGGGGTTACCAGCCCCTCGCACCCGTCCAGAGCCCCCATTTGTCTGCTGTGGTGGTTACAAACGCCCTGAGGAGAAAGGCCCTCCCCCCACAGCACTGCCCACGACAGCGTTGCCCGTCCGGCACCATCAGGAGGTAGGAGGTTGTTTTGACGGACAAAGACACAGACACACACGCACCTGCATGCCATTGAGCGCCACCCAGCAGTCCCCGGGGAAATCCTGCAGCAGAGGAACGAGGAACTGGAGGCAGCCGTCCCAGTGGCACAGCAGGAGGATCATCGCGATGACGTTCACGATGCGAACCACAGCACTCGCGAGGTCGTACGTCATGTGGAAGATCTGGCGAGAGAGCGAGAGAGAGGGGAGAGTGGGGAGAGATGACGGGGAGAGGGGGAAAGATGGAGACAGGGTGATGGGGAGTGGTGGAGAGATGGAGAGAGGGAGACAAGGTGATGGGGAGTGGGGGAGAGATGGAGAGAGGGAGAGATGGAAAGACGGAGACAAGGTGATGGGGAGTGGGAGAGAGATGGAGAGAGGGTGATGGGGAGTGGGGGAGAGATGGAGAGAGGGAGAGACGGAGAGATGTAGACAGGGTGATGGGGAGTGGGGGAGAGATGGAGAGAGGGAAAGATGGGGAGTGGGGGAGAGATGGAGAGATGGAGACAGGGTGATGGGGAGTGGGGTAGAGATGGAGAGAGGGAGAGATGGAGAGAGGGTGATGGGGAGTGGGGGAGAGATGGAGACAGGGTGATGGGGAGTGGGAGAGGAAGGGATGTCGGCGATAACAGAATAAAAAAAGCCCCTCGTCTCATCCCTGTACCTCTCACTTCCTCTTTCATCTCTCACCCCACCCCCGCAGCCCCCCTCCAGCCCCCCTCCAGCCCCCCCCCTCCAGCCCCCCCCCCGCCCCACCAACTTGTACATCGGCCTCACCTCCTCCCACTGGTGGATGTATCTGATGAGTCGTGAGAGGCGGAGCAGCCGCAGGAGGCTGAGGATCTTGGTGAAGCGGACGATGCGGAGGGCGCGTGCCGTCTTGTACACCTCCGAGTCGATGCGCGACTCGACGATGAGGAAGATGTAGTCGACGGGGATGGACGAGACGAAGTCCACGAAGAACCACCCCTTGAGGTACCTCATCTTGATGCTGCGCGGCTCCAGGACGATCTCGGACTTGTCCTCCGAGACGATTCCCGTCCGGAAGTTGAGCACCAGGTCGACGAGGAAGAAGGTGTCGGAGAGGACGTTGAAGACGATCCAGGGCACCGTGTTCTCGTTCTTGAAGAAGGTGATTCCCACCGGGATGATGATGAGGTTGCCTACCATGAGCATCAACATGATGAGGTCCCAGTAGAACCTGGGCGTAGGGTAGGGTGGGGGGTGGGGGGTGAGACACCCGTGGTCATCGTTCATCGTCAGTCAGCCATTGGTCCATCGATTGCCGCGCGAGGCAAAGGGATGACGACGCGGGTCTCGGCCTCAGGGAAATGGCGAGGGACGCGGCAAGACGATCTGGTGGATTCGAGAGGCAAAATGTCGAGAGAGCGAGCGAGTGAGAGAAAGAGAGAGAGACAGCGAGAGAGAGAGAGACAGCGAGAGAGAGAGAGAGCGCAAGAGAGACTTTTGACTTTTAAACAACTTTTATTGCCGCCAGCAGCAAAAGCACTGGGGGCGATTTCGATATGAAATACACAAAGTCACCAGCAACACAAATGAAAATAATCGCTACAAATCCACGCGCTGTGGCGCTAAAAAGCACCGCGCACAACACGAAATAAAAGTCACGTGGTGGTGGTGGTCATCGCGCACGTCACGGTGACGAGCGAGCGCTTCAGAAGGTGAACACGTGGGGGGTGACGTCCACGCTGGTACAGCGAGGGGCTTGTCCGGCTCCCCAGCGTTCGAGGAAGACGCGCTGCACATCACCGACACGTGTGTGTGTCACGTGGCGTGCTCCAGCCGGAGCCGCGCCTTGAGCAGGCCCCTGAACACTGCAAGCAGCACAGAGCAGCCGTCAGTGTCACCTTGCAGCGTCTTTTTACCTCGTTCTGTACCACCGCCAAATTCGCCTGAGCACAGGCGAAGTTGGCGAGGTCACAGCGCTTGTTAGCCAGGTAAGGCACCACCCCATATACGAAGCTGCTGTTGTAGAAGGGTACCCCCAGTTTCCTGAAGATGTCCCCCAAAAGGCGGAACATTGAGTTTGAGCCGCTGGCAGCCCAAGTACTGGTGGGGCAGATCCTCCCTGGCACCGCAGGAAATGCACCAAGTCTGTTACCCCTGGCGAGATTCGGCTGAGCCACACGGCCGATGGCAACGTGCAGTGTGAGGGCGAGAGAGAGAGCGAGCGAGAGAGAGAGAGAGGGCGAGAGAGAGCAAGCGAGAATAAAAAAGAGGGGAGCCAGAACCGGCACGAGAGGCGAGTGGACGTCTTGAGCCAGGAGCGCCCGAGGTGCCGAGGTCGGAGATAGCGGCAAGACGAGTGGGGTGACCGATGGTGCCTCGAACGAAGAGGGCCAACCCGGGGATTGTGTGGGGGGTGAGGGCCAGTTACGTGACGAGGCGGTCCAGATTTATAGATTTTAAAAAAAAGTAAGGCAGAAGTGAAATGGGGCGATAATTGTAGGATCAAGGAAATGTTTTATTGAGGATGCCACGGTGGCTATGATATTTTAACTACCTCGCCTGGTATACAGGAGGTCGTGGGATCGATCCTGACCCTGAAAACTGCTGTATAATTGGAGTCTGCGTGTCTCTCTCTCTCTCTCTCCTCGTGGTCGCGTGGATTTTTCTCCGGGTCCTCCGGTTTTTCCCCTCCACACTTAGAATCAAAGTGCATTGAGAGTTATTTGGCCGCTAATACATTTCCGCACGATGATGATGATGATGATAAGCCCACTTCGTTGAGCTATATCGCTTGTGACAGCCAGGTCGCTTCTGAAAGAGAGCTACATCGCAGCTAACTGGGGCCTCAGCTGCTAAAATGATTTTCAGCCAAAAAGTTTCGTTTCGTGGAAAAAAAAAAATCAGGGCAACATTTGAATGTAGACGGGAAGACGCCTTTGGAAAGGGGGGGCGATTAAAGGGGACACAAGGAAGGGGATGATATGGGGGAAGAAGGTGAGGGAGATGGGAGGCAAGAATAGGCTCTAGGGTTTGGGGGAGGTAGTGGTGAGTCTTGGAAACGACCACGGATAGCTCAAATGAAGATCCATAATATAGGGGGGGGGGAGGTTGTGTTAGATCGCGTACAAATATAAATGCGTCGTTAAATCCGCCACCACCCGAAACACAGCCAATTCGTAAGGGTTGTCACGTAAAGGGAACGTGGCCAATTTGTTACAAGTACAGCACGCCGGTTGTGTGTTGGAGAGGAAATCCACAACTTTAACAATCAAATGAAGACGTTAGGGTGAGCGCGGAGAGAGGCGAGCCAGTGGCACGGTGGGGAGAAGAAAATGCGAGGAGTGGGGATTGGGGGTGGGGGGGTGATTGCCGAATGATTTCAACCTCGGATGAGAAATGGTTGGGAGAAGGTCAGAGGGGAGAGGGCACTGGGAAGAGAGAGAGAGAGAGGGCGAGAGGCAGAGCGAGTTTGTGATGGCGACGAGGACGGGGCTAGGAAGCGGAGACTTGTACAGATTTCGTGACCTACAAGAAATGTAAGAAAGAAGAGAATGGTGAGGCGTGCCTGGGTCTGGGCAGTAAGAGAGAGAGAGAGGGGGGAGGGGGGGAGTAACGTTGCAGCGTCGCGCGCCTTTGCGAACGCGAGTGCCAGTCGAGTCCGAAGGGAGGCGGAAAGCCATGGTGGGTAGGGAGGGAAGGGAGGGAAGGGAGGGGGGCTGAGAGGATGCGAGAGGGGGGGGGGGGGGGACGCAGAGCAGCACGGGCGTCGAGAGGAGAAGATGGAGCCAAAGCAAGAGAAGAATCGGCGTCGTCAGCGGGAAGACGGAAAACGTCGGAGTTGGGAGGGGTGGGGGGAGGAGAGGGTCGAGGATAAGAGGAGAGGATCAAGGATAAGAGGAGATTACGGAAGAAGAGGGGGCGGGGGGGGTAGAGACGGGAGGTGACGGTGATGGCCAGGGTAAGGAGGAGGAGGATGAGGAGGAGGAGGAGGTCCGAACGAAGGGAGAGGAGGTCAGCAGTGACGGGGGAAGCTTTGCCATCGGAGGGTGTTGAATGTCAAAGCGGTCCTTGCATATAAACACCGGGCAGTTCGCCGGCGTTGTTCCAAAACAAGCCCGCCTGTGTCGATGAGACACTGGCCGTCGAAACGTGTTCGCAGTTTTGCGTGCGCTGCATCAAGACAATGATCCCTCGAACTGCGAATCCTCGGGTTGACAAAATATCGGGTTCACGCAATTGGCAAATCGCGAACACTTGTGTCACAGACCAAAACGGAACTTCCGCGCCAGCGAAATTTCGCGCGCGTCCATCAAAACGAGAAGTCATCCACCCGCCACGGGACATCTGTGGCAAAGAGCTTCACGGCACATCAGATTTCCTCCTCGAGTCTAAATTAAAGATTCCGATTGTGAACCTGCGACAGCGTCACGGTGTCCCCGCAGCGCAGCGGTGACGCCCCCAACATCATCGCATGGCCAGTCGTTCAAACACCCAGCAGGTATTTTGGTGAATTCTCTGACACGCTGGAATAGTTTGTATGTTCATCCTGCGTTCTTTAGCCCCTTTGCGGAACACGCGCAGAGCAGCATTCAACATCTTTCTCAGAGAAATTTTAAGCCGCATCGGCGTCTTGCAGTGCGATTCGTCATTACATTCCAAGACACGCGGAAAGATTCCCCGGAGGGCCTCAAGAGACAGTTGGGGCCCAGTGTAACGCTCAGCCACGTGTCAACGAGGGATTAAATTCACGCCGTGTCGGCAAAACGATGGTCCACTGACCATACTTCACCACGCTGCTCGGCGCGGGTTGGTGAAGGCGTCCAGCGATAATGAGCAGAAAGAACCCGCCACTGATGTTGGTTAGTTGCGTGGAACGAAACTGTTACGTGCTAGCCAAGTTTCATAGCACGGTGCGCTAACCAGTGCGCCACCGCTCCCCCTCGACCTCGCCCGCTTGTAGATAGCTGGTCCAGGGTTCTTAGCGCCCTGGTACCGGCTCCATGAGTCATCAATTGTCACCAATTCCTCGCAGTGCCTCTCATGCCCACGACGTGAAGGTAACGTATCCTATTAAGCCAATGAACGCTTCAACAGAATCAGAATAGCCCTGCAACTCCAGCTTCGTAACCAGCGCTGGAGACTTTCATGGAATTAATGCAAGCCTATGTTCACCTACGGCGCTAAAGAGATTCACCTTTTCACACGAATCTAACCTGCAAATCGCACTCCCCACTCAACCGGCAATCAACTCTGATTATATTCAACCGGATCACGTGCATGGATCTGCTGCTGCTGCTGATGATGATGATGTCAGCGCACCTATTTCGTAAGGAATCGCATGAGGGGAGACAGCCCAGCCGAGTGCCTGGTTGCTTTGCCTTGGTGGCGAGTTGTTTCATTACCTCGCATGGTATACAGGAGGTCGTGGGTTCGATCCCAAATCCTGACGCCTGCTGTTGTGTAATTGGAGTCTGCATTTTTTTTTCCCCGGGGTGGCATGGATTTTTCTCTTGGCTCCTCTGGTTGTTTTTTTCCCCCCCCTTTCACATTCACAGTCAATGTCACTCGTTTGGAGTGTTCGGCTGCGAGAAATGTCCACACGACGACGAGCCACTTCCATGGAGCGCCCGTTCGTGGCCAGGTCGCCTCTGAAAAAGAACCACCGTAGCTCAGTGACCCTTCACCTGGTTAAGATAAATATATATATATTATTCAACTCCCGACGACGCTGGGCGAAACCAGCGGCGAAACGTCGGACAGACGTTGGCAAAACGTCGCTTTGGGCTCGTGAGAATTCCTCCTCTCGTCGCATGCTCCCCGCGATTCTTTTTTTCTTCCCGATTTAACAAAAAAAAAATTGGCGCGTTTTGCTCACGCGACGTTGACGACTTGATTTGATCGACTCTGCCGCGGGGTGGCGGAGGGTAACGGTGAACACGAAAACATTGGCATCATACGCCCCTGCACGGCGATCTAACAGAAAGAGAAACGAATTACCGAATGAGCCACAGAGGTCATTCTACATGACCTGGCGCTGGTGTGAACGGTACAGAGTAGAGTTTATATTTCACCGAGTGTGATATTCACTGCATAAACCGGTTCTGTGCAAGGGTATACGATTAACCTGTGTGTGTGTGTGCATATACGTGTCATGACGTGATTGTTACGCATGCGTGTGTGTGTGTGGGGGGGGGGGGGGGAGCGGAGGTGCAACGGTTAGCACACTGCGCT